TCGGTGTTGCAGCATGCTTCAGATGAACACAGAAGGCTGGGGTGTGAGCGGAGACTAGGATGTCGGACGAGACAGGCAAAGGCGGAAGTTCTTTCTGACGAGGAGGTGTCGGATACGGGAGATTAGTTTAGCATTGGATGCATGTTAGACAATTAGAGCTGATGTATCGGGTAGGGGAAACCCCGTGACACTGATCAGGTCGTACATATTATCACCCATCTGAGTGCACTGGCGAAAGCCGCTATCCTCAATGGTTGATCATATGTATGATCTAATCTACCCTCTCATTAGCCTGCTTGCGAAGAGCGTGGAGGCCTGCGATCGTTTCTATCCCTTGAGGTGATACGATTATATACCCTCTACACTCTGTAGCGGTGGATCCCTTTCGAAGGTCCACATCGTGGACAATGTGGGTAGTGGGTGGTTACGAGTGATCTTGTGTCGTGAGGGAGTTACATGGGGTTTGGCTTAGTCAACATGGGGGCTGATCAGCTAATTAACAGTCAACACACCGCTACTTCCTATTGGTTGATTTCTCAAGTCTTGAATTAATTATGTCATTACTATCATCACTTGTGTCAGTACATCAGGGTTAACTGCTTAGGCATTGTTCTTTATATATCTTCTTCAGTATCAATTTGAGTTCTGAAATACAATTACAATGTCTTATAAATTCATAATTTATTATCAATTCAATTTCAATAATCAATCTAATAGCTCTTTTAGTATGATTCATATCCTAATTGGTTTATGATATCACTTTTATCACGACCTGGCCCGGTTGCTCGAATTAAGGAGGCGGGAACGAACAGTCGTACGTTAATAACATTTCTTTAAATTCAAAAACATTTTATCATATATATTCCAAAGAAAAACTAAAAAACCATTAACACAATTTCCATCAAACTACAAACAAAATCTTTCAAATACTTAACATTTACATAAATCATATATTACCTAGTTGCATTTGTGCATCGTCTTCTGTAGACGTATTCCTCTCCTCTTTCAGCAATTTCTAAATGTCAGGAGACTTACTTGAAAGCTTAGTTTAACAGATTGAGTTTACATGATAAACTCAGTGGGTAATTACTCTTATAATATAACAATTATACAAAAATATACAATGAATTATATGTTTTTTTTTCTTTCTTCTTTTTATCTAATATATACATAAACGTATCAATTTATATGGGATAAATCTTTATTATATCTTTGTCCAATAACATATTCCTTTTTCATTTTATGTTCATTCATTTTTTTCATTTTCATTTATCCCTTTCCCCTTTCATTTAGTACAGGAGCACTGTCTAAATGCACTAATAAAGTTACAACCATTTACATTTCCTTTTCCATAACATTTTTTATTTAACATGCACAGGTACGTTGCTTCCCCAGCCAATATCATACAGGGATGAACTTCCGTAAATTAACATACATATATATTTTCCCTCTTTTATTACTTTTATTTTATATAAATCATTACTATTATATACATTATGATATAACCTTAGCATATAATAATTCTCAAGGTTATTGCATATTTAACATTTAAATATATTATCTATATAATGATTGATATATCATCAAAAATTAATCATGATTGGGCACTAATCTCGGGGCAAAATTGAGTTGGCAACTTTCAAAATTAAATCTAGGACCATTCAAGCTCCGATTTCAGCAAACTTATAGTTGAACTAAAAATCTCGAAAAGAAGAATACAATGACACCAAATTCGACCCAATATGAGCACAAATGGGTCCAAATTGAAGACCTAAAGCACATTTAGAAGGTTTAAACCATAAATGAGACAACAAAACAATTTCCAAACATGACATGTTTATAGTCAAATCGAGTGGCTCGTCGAGGCAAATCAAACGAGCCCAAGATCATCGAATTTTGATATCATTAAGGCATTAAAAATTTTGAAAAACAGTCCACAATCAAGGGAGTCGATATCGGTTGTCTATTCAAAACACTACCAACAAGCCCTTGATCTTCTCCCTATTTACAGTCCATGTTACTCTCAAAAAACTATAAATAGAGCTCTCATCCTTCATTAAGAGGGTGCAAGCAAGGAAGAGAGGAAATGAAGAGAAATTAGAGTTCTCTGGCCATCAGACTTCTCGGCCACCAGCCACCTACCATCACCAGACTATCACCGGACTTCTGCCCGACAATCGATTATCGTCGAACTTCTGTCTAACTACCAGATGTTGTTGGACTTTCGCTCGACCACCAACTATCACCAGACTTCTGCCTGGCCACCAACTGATGCCGGATTTTTGCCCGACCACCTATCGTTGTCGGACTTTCGTTTGATCCTTATTCGTCGCTAGATTTCAACCTGATAGTTAAGTATTATAATCTAATCGTCCTAAAGTTCAAGAACAAACCAATCATTTGCAATCCATTCAAATATTAATGGAATCATTTCAATTAGGCGTGGCCCCGTGATTTTTCCCTTCAGGGATTTCTACATAAAAAATTTTGGTGTTTCTTTTTTCTCTGTTTGTCTGTTGGATATTCATGCAACAATAAGACGAAAAGATTTTCCTACTTTACTGCCGTGAATATTCTAGCCCGCAACAATGATAATTCCGTATGCTTATAACTTAAATTTAAATTTTCTTTATTGTTTTAATTAATTTGTATAACATGTAGTAATTGCAACAATTACAAGTAATTATAATTACATAAAGAAAAGAATTTGAAATTGTCATAAAATAATTATGAAAATTATCCACTTTTATACTTCAGGCTTCAGCTCCTTTCAAATTTCGACCTTTGAAATAATCTTCCTTATTATAACCTAAATTCACATACAATCACATAAATTATTACTATATTTAACTTTCATTAATTTTACATTTTAATGAATTCTTGCCTCAAATCCCTTGAGAAATCCTTTATTGGCTTCAACACTTCGCCTTCACACGCTAGATTAATCCTATTCTTTTCTGTTCCAATTTATATTAATTAACATATTACTAAATAATTTTGAAGGGTTTCTCAAAGGTTAAAGAAATAATAATAAATGTCAAGTTTCTAACTTGCATCGAGCAAATAGGAGCGTGCACAAGAAGAAACATGAGGATTAACTCGACAAGCATAAGTTGTCACGCATCGAGCCCGCGAAGGGTGAAGTATGATTTTGACTTTAAAGTAATTAAATTTGATTACAACATATCAATTTTATTCAAAATTGTGGATTGAAAATTAGATTTTCTTTTTTTTTTTTGGTAAAAGAAAATTGGGTGGGAATATCCTGACCAAAATTTGGCTAGGATGAATTTAAAGCTATTAGATTTGCTTTGAGAGGAGTCAAACAAGAATTAATTGATTGTCCATATATTGTACTCATCTCAAAGCAACTTTAAAAGGTTTGAAAGCACATATTGACAAAATTTTAGTTGGGATATCCTAACCCAATTTTTCTCTATTTTGTTTCATGCTGATCTTAAAGGATTCCCATGGCATTGAAGTTTACAACTATTTCTCATATTACCTACAGCTCCCATTATGGGAGCGTGCAGAATTTGATTTTGGCAGTTTCTTTGTTATCTGAAAGATCGGGAGAAGGCAGTATTCGTGGCTTTTGCTGATATAGTCCCGATATTACTTACAAGTTTCAACTAACACGTTGTTGTTGTTTGTATAAGAGCATATGGAATTTTAAAATAAGGCTGTCCGTAACTCTTAACCTTTTGATACTTAGGCTTCACTTGGGACGGCTTTTTAAATACTTCTTAAAGCAAATTTTTAATGCAAAAATTTTATTTTTTATATTAAAAAGTACTTCAAGAAGTAGTAAAAAAGTCATCCCAAATGAAACCTTAATTTAAATTTGAATTGAGACAATCCTATGTCAATCATATCTACTAGCCTAGGGTATAAGAAGGCACATAATTGATGAACGTTTGCAAAATAAAATTTCAGTTCTAAAATTTTAATTTTGTAAGTTAAAGTTGTTTATGTGAATCACTTGAGTATGTATAAAGTGTGACCACCTAATGCTAGACCTTTCCTTTGTATCAATTTGAATCCTGATTTTTATTTTTTTGTACTTTGGAATCTTGTTCTTATTTCAATTACATGTTTCTTCTTGGCTTATTAACACTACTGATTTTGCTCAAATTTAATAAAACTACAATCCTATTTGTGGGAATTAAACTAGAATTGCTCTATGATTTTCTATGGCTCAAAATTTTTGCTGATTTTATGTGGTTCAAAATTTTTATTAATTTGCTTAGATTAATTTTATCATTTTGTTGTTACTTGGGTTTTAGCTTTTATATTGACTGATTATAATTAAAGAAAGCAAGTTGTTGAATTAATTTGTGATTTGCGATATGCAAAAAACCTAAGTTCCCTTCTTGAGTTCATACAACACATCATATTAGTCATGTTAGGAAACACTAACCCCGAGTCACGTCATTCATCATCCTATAAAGTAATTGATTTCCGCGGCTTTAGCTTTTCCCTATGGTAAAGAATGGATCTACATATCAAATGTGCTGTTGTAAAGCAGTGTTTTTAAAGGAACTACAAGACTTGCTCTCACGATACAATTCAAACATGCCATAAATTAAGAAAATGTTGTGTAGTAGCAAGCAGGACAAAGAATGAAAAACATTTTACCACATGCGGATACCCCTCATTTAGGCTTCGTTTGAGATGTCTTTCTTATTGCTTCTTAAAGTAGCTTTCTAGAAAAGCTGCTTTCCTAAAAAGCTACTTTAAGAAGAAGCAAAAAAGCCGTAATGTTAAGAAAAGGTTAAGAAAGGCAGTTTACAACAACAAATAGGAATTATCACGTCGGATTAGAAGATTTATCCCAAAGAAAAAAGGTTCAGAAAGGAACAAGCCTTTTGTTAGTTAAAGATAGAATAACGTTAAGCACTCCTACAGGACATAAAACTATTTATTTGCTTTTAGCATGCATGAAGAAGATATTTCAGTGGCTAAACGTATTAATCAAAAGAGTAATTCCTGGTACATACCACTGGCTTGAGCAGCTCTTCTAGAATTTCTTGAGCATGTCTCAACTTTAAATCAATAATATGAGAAGGCAAGTCAGCTTCGATCAGGACATGCAGCGGCTCGTTCAAATGTTCATAACCTGGCCGTCCCATATGTGTTTCCTCCTTCAATATGAGAAAAACAAAATAATAAAATCTTGACTTCAAGCAAGAAAATGATAGCAATCACATTAATAGATTGAGACCATTTTGATAAACAAGTTTCCTGCTAATGTTAAAATTTATAAATGGTCATACTATTACAAGATTCAGATGTCTGAATACAGCATGGACCTTCAAAGCCTAATTCCAAAAGCTTTAACAAGAATCAAGTTTACCTTGTCTCCATGAATATCAAAAGAATCAATGTTAATACAGAAATCACAAGGATTATGTGCAAATTAAGGCCTATAATACAGAAAAACTTGAAAGAAATTAACAGCTAAGATGTTCAAATATGGAGAGGACCTCTGGACAAGCGTATAAAGAGTATTGTGACTAAATCATCTCAAATAAATATGCTTTAGTAAATTGTTGGGCACTGTATATATGTGTAGTTCACATGATTTGTAAAACCACTCCCAACTGATGCATCAGCGCCAAAACATACTGTTAAGTAAAAGTTATGTAATATTTTATTGTGTTAAATTCCCGTGAATATGTTTGTTTTTAATTGCTGTTGTACAGGAATATCTAAAAAAAAAAGAAAAAAATCATGAGTATGGAACCAACGCCGCAGCACTGAAACCATTAGCATCGTAGCGTCAATGCAATGTCGTTGACGCCCCGGCGCCATATCAGGATATTGTAACGTCGGAGCCTTAAAAAAAATTGTATTTAATTCAGCACCCTGGTAGAAAAAAGGTCAGCACCACAGCACTTCACAATGCCACAGCGCCAAAAATCAACATTGCAGCACCGAAGTTTCAGGAAAATTGCACAATAATTAAATGTCGGAGCGCCGATCTCGTAAGCATTGCAACGCCGGATAATGTAAGCGAGCGCCGCAGGGCCCAACTTTTGCAGTGCCACAACAAAGCTATTAACAAAAAGAAATGCTACGCCTGATCAGTCAAACGTCACGCTAGATTAGCAAATAGCCATGCCGTGTAAGCCTAGCACCGTAGTGGAGAACATTTAGAAGCGCCGAGGCGCTAGTTCATATTATAACACCGCGACGCCTGAGCCATTTTGTAATAAATATAAATAATATTTCTATTTTTTTATGTGAGAGTGTTGAAGTTCTGAATAATTTTCTTAAAAGAGAAGCCAGAGGAGAGTTAAGTGCATACTTTAGAGTGGCTAGATAATATTGTTGTGAGAAGTAAGCATTTGGAGAAGAAAGAAGTGTGGAGCGCAAAGTTACAAGGAGAGATTCACTTTAAGAAGGGTTCATCTGTATGATCTGTTTGGGATCCTTAATCCCGGGTGATATCATTTAACTCTTTTCTACTTGTACTTTTTTTCTTGAGTAAGAAATGAAAATTGTGTTGTTATGTTTTTATTCTATGGCCGGCTAAACTCATAGTTGTGAACTAATACTATGAAAACCTAAGTAATTACTAATATAGACTCTTGTGCTTTAAATTTTGAATGGTCATTTTTAATATCTCGCTCTTTATTTAATCTATGTAGTGGCGATGTGTAGAATTAAAACCTACGGTGATATATTGCCTCGATAGAGGAATATTGGAATAATTAGGAAAATTGGAATGAAATACTTGCATGTCTAGACATAGGATAATTAGCATTCTAGAGTCTATGGAGATAGAACAACTGTAGAAATGTCATAAATCTTTCTTTACATCCTTACAAGCTCAAGAGAGATCTAGGGATGCATATGCTCTGGTTCACAACTAATTTAGGAGAGTCTACTTAGGAAAGCTTAGCATATTTCACTGTCATTAGTCCAAAACATTTTATCTATTGGTATCTTCACTTTTCTTCAGCAATTCTCATTCTAGATAGAATACAGCTCTAATTTTGTTGTGTAGAATAATTTTAGTATCTTGAAATAGACGGTACTTAAACAATTGTGTGAAGCAGAACACTTCCTCATGGAATCGACACTCTCTCATAACACTTATTAACTTAATCAACATGCGCACTTAATTTTTTAGTGCAGATTAATATTTGACTAAACATAAGCATAGACCAACACAAACAACCCGCATCTCCTCATCCCATCACATACTTCAAAGAATGTTTATCCTAAGCCATCCTCAAATCTACTGAACATATTAGTAATCTTTTGTAAAATTATTACAGTCAGAAGACAAAAAATCCTTGAAAAAAACTACGCTTGTATTACCTTAAAAAGCCACTCATCAAGCTTCTCTTAACTAAACAAAATCATATTAAAAAAAAACTCTTCATTTTCCTTTTGATAAATGAATATACAATAATTCAAACAATTTCAAAATCGCTTCTATGAAACTTAGAAAAACTGAAGTCACAAGTTGGGCAGAAATTTCACTTATTATTAGTGTCAAATTGAAGGTTTATGTTTTGACAAGCAACTTTTTTCGTGATTTTGTTATAACCAGAAAATATTTAGTTAGCTTATTCACCTTTCCTAAAGGAATATTCGAATTTATATATTCATTATAACTATTTTTGCATAAATCCAGAGTGAAGCAAATATCTTAGAAATAAGATAACTTATGAAATAAATAACAGGACATACATATAACACAACATCAATTCTCAATTCTTGATAACATCATAACAAATCTATGATGTATGAAAGGCATGTCAAAAAATAGCCCAAATTGAAGGAGGAAATTATCAACCAAGAGCATCTATTATCCTGACAAACGAAAAATGACTGTTAACCTTGCCAGGATCCTTTATTGAACCTTTTCCTCTAATATAAACACGACAACCAGTTGAAGCTTCCACGCGTTTTAGAGAATTCCCTCTGGGTCCAAGAAGGCGTCCCACAAAATTGAACTGAAAAGAATTAGAAGTTAAAGACAACTCAAACACTAAGAATTCAATAAATTTATAAATGGAAAGGTACATACATTAGGATACTTATGCACTGGAATTTCTAAACGCAATATTTTCTTGACAAAGTGTGAACTAGGACTAGCCGGAGCACCTTGCCAATCCATTGTGGTTCCTTGAGGAAATTCTGATCTCTGCTCAAACCATTATAAGAGAAGAACGGAAGAAGCAAATAATGCACTTGCTACCATATGTAACAGTCAAAAGTTCAAATTAATAGATAAACGGTATAATCAATTCTTTAAGGGCCAAACAATAAGTATGGAAACAAGAAAATGTCCCGAGAATTTGTTTCAACATGTTAGGTGTACCAAACATACTTTCCAAGATTGGTTACCCTATGTAGGTTAGCCAGAAATTTTTTTTGTCAACCAAAAGAAAAAAATCTCAGCAAGGGATTCAATCAGAATAGTTAGCACTCTCATATGAGATAGTAGCCGGTTTCAGTGTTAAGGCACATGAGAGTATTGGGTTTGGATAGGTAAACAAATATTCTAGTGTCCAAATACCAAATGATTCACCCTCTTCCATAAGCTTAAAGTTTAGGGTTGAAAAAAAAAAATGATCACTCCTATGTATGGACCAACATTGATCTGCTTTTGATTTCATACTGCTTAATAAGTAGTATCAGAACAGAAGGTTCAGTTGGTATCTTCTATTATGGTTAAACAAGGCTCAAGAAAATGTGACTCCCGTGACAACATCATGTGGTTGAGAGTTTCCTGGTGAATGATATTTTGTTGACCAATACACTACAACCAAGATAAAGCAGACAAAGAATATATATGTAAAGTAAAACTTAAATCATCACTTGTACCAGATCTCTGCTCATATTGGTGACCCATCCTCTGCAAGCGGCGCTAATGACAGTTAAGCGTGCAACCTCACCTCGATCCCATTCCCACCCTCGCTAATAAAATGCGGACAAAGGCTCTTCTTCGCACCTCTTCTCTTCCTGTTCGTAAGCTCGTTAGCTTCTTCCCCTTTCCGCAAGCATCCCGACATCAAATCCATTAGCAAACTCCAACTCCTATCGCAAGCTCTCGGAATTCTTCCCGCATTCACTCTGTCTCTTCCGATCTAGCCGAACTCATCCATCACCATCGGCCTCTTCACCCAACGCCAAGACTCCCGATTCACCGAGCTGAACTCCAACCTTCTCCTATCTCCATGTTTTCAACCGCAACAATTATTTTAGGAATGAACGCTTGTATGGTTCTCCCAGACAAGTTGAGTCACCTTCAATCATTACAGTTGGCAGTTCAAAGTAATGGTCACAAATTCCGGAGTACAGGACATCAAAAGTCGCTTACTGATTTCTATATGAGTTCTGGGAAGTGAAAGTCGGATCAAGTCATTATGAAGTGAGTGAATCTCAATTCAACCATGTTCTGAACATTGAGTTCGATAAGATTATTGAGGCTTGCAAGTTTCTTGATGAACAATGGTCATGCATTCAACATGCCTTCTACATACAAGTATTGAAGTACTACGACAAATGCAAACTTCTATGAGCTATTGTAGAAGACCAGTCAAATATCCAAAATGCCCCCGCACATGCACTGTAATATGTATGCACATAGGTACATGGAAGGGGATGTATAATAAACTCGCATGGGCCCCGGCGAAGGTGTTATAAATACACACGTGATGTCCAGGAATACTGCGCAGGTCAATAAGTGAATTCAAGTTCAAACCTGATCCTTCTATGCGGATCAATAGGAGTCGACAAGGTTCAAATAATCAAACAAATATACGGTTGCGGCGACCAGTATATTTATTTTAATACATTCATATTAGGCCTTCAAGGCCTATAACAATAAGAATTCACTAATAAAGGCACAAAACTAACGACGAACCCTATCCTCTGTCGGCAAGTTAACAGGGTCGACAGGGTTCAATCCATAAATGAAAATGATCCCAAACACCCCGATGATGGCCGTGTTAAAGGTTTATCTCAACCAGGAGGGTTCACAAATATCTTCAAAATGCCATCCCAAATACCCGAAAATCCAAATTTCCAACAAACATCCCAAAATCCAAAATATTTAAAATTGAAATTCAATACCATTAATCACTTAAAGCAAAATACATTCATCCTCCACAACATCTTGCAAGGGTGGACAAATTGAAATTTATTTCGGCTCACATAGAGCTAATACCTAGTCAAAAATATAATTAGGATCCATTCTCAAACAATCTCCTGCCACTAAAGATGTGGAATGTATCCTCTGACCTATGGTTTTGCCTCCAAATGGTACCGCAGGATAAACGGTTATGACCTGGGGCCCTCTGAACCGAGTGATTTTGCCGTCAAATGGCACCATGAAATACCGGTTATGGCCAGAGCCAATACGTTCCTTAATGGCATCAAATATTTAAGACATGAATCAATAGGATATGATTCATAGGGCACAAAACCCTCTGTTAGCTAAGGTGGATTCAAATTTGTCCCCTTAGACAAACATACACCTCAGATCTACAAGGTACCCTTGAACAACGCAACCCATGGCTGCCGACAAGGATCCTTTTGTCAGGTTGGGTTGACTACCTCTTGTTGACCTCATTTTTGCTTCGGGGTGATATATTCTTTCTAATGAGTTGATTCGACCTTAGAATTAGAACTCAACCTTAATCTTAAAATTCCCAAAGAAAACTAATATTTTTCAAAACATGTTTTCAAAATTCCACCAACACCTCTTCTGACTAAGTAGACTAGGGACCACGATGGCCCAGGACAACTGAACCATGGGATCTTGATTGGGTCCATCATTCATTCCCCCACCATCCGTTTTAAGTGCAAGATGGTGAAATTTTTAATTTTAAATATCAAATCTTCCAAACACCCAAGCCCATGCTACTACTATATGCCTAATACTATATATCTATGGATACAACGTATCTAATTGACGACTAGCCTTAATTGAAAGTTCTCTCTCGTGATCGAGAGGGTAATTAACTACAGGGACTTGCGCCTATAGGAAACCAGAACTCAGATCATAAAGTCCTCGTAAAATGAGGACAAAATCTCTGTGTAGTGTCTTATCTACAAACCCATCTACCTTCCAAAAGTTACCCCAGAACTTATTTCAGTTAAAACTCTCCCGAAGGAAAGCACAGTGGTCAGAGGCCGGGGCCGAATTTTCGGAGCCCACAGATTTGAAGATGCATAAAAGCTTTGGTTCATGAGAAAGTGATGGCCAAGGATAAGAACTATGCTAGACCGGTCCAACCGATTTGACGGGACCGGTTCACGCGTAAGTTGGAGGAACCATCCACCTCCTGTACGTGGATTATGACGCCGAACGCATGCCCGAATCTACTAGAGCCATTTAGGAAAAAAATTTTGATGAATTAAGAGGGAAATTTGAATGTAGGGACTGTTTAGGGATTTCCTTTTGATTTGTATGCATTAAATACTTTGTTTTCCTTGGGTTAGGGCATCTTGAATTTGGCTGAAATTTGAGATCTCTTAGAGTTAGGTTTTCCTTTGGGCTCTAGCAGCGTCTAGAGATTTGGGAGAGATCGATCCTCCTCTCGAATTGAGGATCAACTGTATCTTGCTATTTTTCCATTTCTATTTTATCAAATAATACAAATTATCTACTATTTTTGTGATTTTGTGTGGATTGTGATAGAGAGAGCTCAATGTTTTCAAAGATTGATAGAAAATACTTGAGATTTACAAGTGTTTCCTATCAAACTCTCACATAAAAGGGTGATTATTACGAGATGTGCAAGCATGTAGAGTTTAATCACATTGTAAATAAGTAAAAAATATGTTATAGGAATACCAAGAAGTTGCGAATCTCCCAAAGGCTTAAACTTTTAAGTTGAAAATGTGTTTCACCATTAGTGTATCAGCCTAACCATAGTCCCTTTTCGGTTCTAAACTGCCCAACAATGAACTTGTATAAGTTCTTGTTCAATCACTTACTCTAAGGAAAGGGAGCCAATTCTTACCAGAAACGAGTGAAACATTATACAGATTGATCTCTACTATGTTTTCATCCAGTTTTCCTTCAACAAAATCTTTAAACTATTCCGTTTTAATCAATTCCTGCATATAGATTAGTGAAGGAATGACACTAGATGGATCTATCAGGACTGGTTCAGCCAATCAAACCCACATCCTCTCTATTGTTATATGTAATTTCTAGCTTTCTTCAATAATTCTCTCCAAAGGGACTCTTGAGGTAGTCTTACGCTATAAATAGAGGGTTATCTCCTCGCTTGTTGGCATATTTTTGAGAAAATTAGAAATTTTTTCTTTTGCCTGTTCTGAGCTATGTATCCTGAAGAAATTCAGGTGGTGTTTCCACTCCATATCAAGCGTCATTTGATATCAGAGCCAGGAAGATGCATATGGGGGGGGGGGGGGGGGGGGGGGGGTATGTTTTGTATATATGTTCTGCATCCTGAACTATAATTCAGATGCCGGTTATCCCTGAAATCTGGGTGATTGAATTTGGCAATTCAGCAGGAGCTGAAGGTTGCCATCTTGAAGCCCACCTAGGAGGGAGAAATCCAATTCCTTGGGGTGGATTTCCCCTAAATATTGAGAGGAGAGGAAGGAAAGTAAGTGTAGTGGGATCCGGGATTCTGCCAACATCACAATCGAAGCTTCTTCTTGATCTTTCAATTTGTTTCAGTGTACCAACAGCGGGCCTTTACCGTGCCAATTCATTTTTACACACCATAGGGTGTTGTTTAGCGCCTATTTTCTGCATTTAGGGACTTACCGACAACAACAGGAAGATTGCAAGCAAGCCTCGCAGCCTAGGCGCCTGTAATGTCGATTTGCATCCACTGGAAAATCTGGTCCAAGAACAAGGAAAAAAAGTTTTCTGACTTGTCTTGTCGCCTACAAGAAAAGCACCTTAGGGCTTAGGCTAACAGACGATCAAATCTCATTCATGAAAGGATAAAACCAAGAAGGATATGGCAAGATGTCGCCTCACCAAAAGCATCAGTGACCAATTCAAGAAATAGTGATTGAAGATCTACAGCGAAAAATAACCCACCTTCAACAACGACTATTAAGGCTCAAACGAAGGAAAGACTTGGTCCCACTTGCCTGGGACTTTTCTGGCATCAGACCAAGGAGCAAGTATGCCCCCATGGCGGCTTACAGATACTCCGTTCTGGGCGAATCCTTATGAACCGATGATGGAGAGGGTATATGGGCCGATTGAATCCCTTCTTCCCATGAAAACGTGTTTGAAAGGACACCTCATAAATCTTCCTCCATACCCTCGATTGAGTCCATCTTCGATGAGTTTAAAAATTTGTTGTTGAAATTGTCATCTTTGCCTTTTTATGATGAGCCAGTGTATGAAGAGTATGATGACGACATGTTCTTTGGAGTTCTTGGTTTTAATAAGAACGTGCATGATGATAAAAAAATCAAGCAAGATATCCAGCCGAAAGTATTCATTCATATCGTTCCAAATAAGGCAACAAATATGCTCTCCATCATTAATAATGGAATTGGTATGACTAAACCTGATCATGGCAACTTGATGTGATGCAATGGGGAGTTACACAAGAACTTTAAAAGAAAATTAAATATTAGCTCCACAATTATTTGGCCGGCGGCTTGTGCTCCAAGGGTAGTGAATGGCCACGGAAAATTTAGCTCCTCTCCACGGTGGTGAATTGTATGCGGGAGATGTGTGTAGAGAAGAAGATGATCACAAGGAACAAATTCGAGAACTCACTAAGAGATCTCTAATGGAACTCACAAAGAGATCCACATTTTGGCACTCACAAAGAGAACACAAAACAAAATTTCATTCAATAATTCAATAATCCTCATACAAGATACAATGGCCATATAAATAGGCCCCAAAGAAAATAAAGTGCAAAAGTCTAAAATGCCCCTTGAGGCTACAAAAGCAACTACTACCCTCAGGGGTAAAATGGGAAACTACGAAAATAAAAGAATAATATGAAAACTGATGGTACAAATAAAATCAAAAATAAAGGCTAGCAATCATGGCCGTCAATCTCCGTGGTCGTCTCTGATAGACGCGCCGAATCTCCTATCGATGACCTCATCACAACTACTTTGGTACCTTCACACATTCCAACACAAAGTTCATGGAGGCGCTAGTTGTGGATGTTGATGTCAGCATGATTGGTCAATTTGGGGTCGTGTTCAATTCAACTTGCCTTGTTGCTAAGAGGGGCATCATTATATGTTATATATAAGAATTTGGTGATGAGAAAGAAAAGAAAAAAAATAAGATCCTTAGATTCCTCAGCAAGTTTCATCAACTTCAGCTTGTGCTGAAGTCACTCCTGGATAGGGAGAACGATATTGGATGGATTTATTTGGATTGGTTCAACCAACTAAACCCACCCCCTCTCTATTGTTATATGTAATTTTTACCTTTCTTCAATAATTCCCTCCAAAGGGACCTTGAGGTTGTAATAACCAGAAATTTTCAAGTAATAAAAATTTCAACACGTTATTTCTTTTAAACTTTAAACAAGCCTAACTAATACTTTTTAATTATAATTAACTGTTAAATAAATTAATATTTACTAAACAGTTAATTACTGTTAAGTCGATATTAGCATTAATACTAAGTAAAATATTAAATGAAATTAGTTATTTCCATATTCCTGAATAGGTGCTTTCTTTGGATATGAAAAGATGTGAGAGCAGTTATTTGGTGTGGGGCCACTCTTCCAGTGGTTTTCAAGTGAGGATTGGAACCGGAAGGCTGAGAATTTGATTGTTGTATGCGAAGCAGGAAGGAAAGGAGTGGGTTAACGAGCAAAGCAGGGCAGAGTAAATGAGAGCATATTTTCTGGAGAGAAGTTGCAAAAGAAGAAGATCGGCACAGTACAGTGCAGGAAGGGCTTGGCACACTGCAGTTATTAACAGCAAAGGAAAAATATGAGGCTATGTGGCATTGGTCTGTGAAAACCTGCGGGCAGTGAGAGAGCAGAGAAGGGATTCTTTCTCGGTGGAGTTAGAAGTAATTGAAGCAGTGTGTTCGGCTGAGTGAAGAATTTTTAAATGAGGGTTTGTGAGTGATGGAAGCAACTTCTACTGAGAGAAAAGAGTATAGGTAAATGAAGAAGAAGAGGAAACTACAGCAATTGAGGAAGGAAGAAGTTAAAGTAAATTGCTTTTATTGCAATGTTATTGTTGTTTTGTAGATTTCCTAATGTTAGTAAAAATTATTAAAAGAAAATTTACTCAATTGTGTAAGAACTTAGATTATATATGCAGAAATAAAGTGTTGAGATAATTTTTACCAAAGGAAAAGAGTACGAGGCGTGGGCTTTGAAGAGACAACTCGTCAATGAGGTAAGATATGCAATTCTAAATTACAAAATCAATATTATTAATTTTAGATAAATGCAATGTCACTTGAATGAAGGGATAAATGCATTAAGATGATTTCAATTAGTGAATATGAGCATACATCCAAGTATTCACGTACAAGCAACTACAAATCCATATGAATAATTGAAATTTGAGATAATTAAAGTATGATTGTTTAAAACTTTTCCTAGTTAATAATATTTTGGAAAAAAGTTCAATTCATTGCATATTCCATACACATTATTTTTATGTAAACGGTATAACAGATAGATTTATATGAAAGCATGCAAAAATATAAAGCATGTATGGATTTCGAATATTTAAAGTCGACTCAATATTAAATTAGGAAAGATTGAGTATGAAATGATATGACGTTGCAGGTGGGGGCAAAAAGGACCCTAGATATGATACTTGCTTAGTAGATGGGGCAAAAGGAATCTCTATATAGTTCAATGACGAAAATGTCAGATTTATCTAGGCTCCATTGAACATTAATATGAAAGTTAACTATATGAAAATGATAGTCAAATCCTTAGAAAACTAATTATGATATTCTATACAGATTTCAAAAGAATTACATAATGATTTTAATTATGATTTTTATGTTGATTTGCAAATGTTTTTTGAGTTAATTCAATTATATTATTCACTATAACTTTGCATTTAATTTCTTATTTAAATTGTATAATTTTATGAGTCTCATAGCTCACCAGTTTTTATATCGGTTGTTGTTCAGGGAATGCAAGGAAAAAGTTGAAACATATTAGGCAAGTTATGAAATATTTATGTTTTCTGTTTAGCAAAGTTTATGATGTCTTCTTGTAAGGTATGTAAAATGTCTAAATATGGTGATGTACTCTAATTTTCTTAGTGGCTATGTAAGTACTTTTGTGATAAAATTGAGACTATATAGATATTTCCGTTTATTCAGTAAATGTAATGGTCAGTGGATGTTTTTAGACAAGTATGCAAATGATGAGAAATGTTGCATGTAGAGAATGAATGTTATGTTTAGTTCTGTGATACTCTACGTTACTGGTAAGGAGTATCATGGGGTGTTACAAATATAGCATTACTCTATGAATAGAGGACTATCTCCTCTCTTGAAGACAGATTTTTGAGATAATTAGAATTCTTTCTTTTGCTTTGTTCTGAGCTCTGTATGCTGAAGCAATTCAGGTGGTGTTTCCACGCCGGGGCCAACATCAAGGAAAGTGATCTCTTGTACTGTATTGGTTATAGAAAACCTCACAAAAGGCTTTTAATAAATATGAATTTGATGAACAATCTCTGTACAGTTCTACATTCCAGCAGCAAAATTAACTTTCCTAACACGCAATGAGAAATGTGCTTATGCATAAGACCTTCAATATTGTTAACCCAAAAATATGCTAGTAAGATATCTTACTCTACAAGAACTAAGATTCAGCTTTATCCCCACTAGAAGCAACAATATACTGCCAATTTCTTAAGCGTACCAAGTAGCACAGTTTTTAACTCCCTGAATAAGAAAAGAACAAGGCTATACTCACCTTAAATTGAACCCAAATTAGTCCATCCTTAGTGCCACCAAGAATAATTTAAATCACTATATCAGATTGCCCCAACAGGGGATTCATTGTAGGCCAACTGCCTTCAACTATACATAATGAGGTGATTTTTACTATTGATTTTGTATTAAAAATGCCATGGTTTTTCATTTACATGTCCTGTATAATTGACTATGGGACTTACACTTATATGTTAAACGTCTCATTTTTTTAGAATAAATATTTTGTGAATTAATTAGTAATAATGAAATGAGATACAAACACTTCAATTTCTCCTAATGGGCATTCGGTTAGGAGCTCTTAACCTTTTTTTTTCAATAAACACCAAAAGGTGTTTGATATAATTTAAAAGTCAACAAGTAGGTTTTCTCGTTTATAAGGCCATGATCCATATATTACTTGTCCTATTAATTCGTAGTTTGTGAATCTCTGGGTAAGACAAGTGGCACAAAAGATCACATCACAAATAATAAAAAGAAATTGTACATAAACAATGAAGAAAAAAAAAACATGATCATTCACCTCTTGGTACAACCCATTCCAACCAATTGAACCTGTGACAGATATGTTTGAAGCAGGATTTGGAGAAGCCATTGGACTGGGGTATCCATACTGTTGCCGATCATAGTCCCCAAATCCTTGACTGGGTACTCCTGAGACTCGCACTATTTCTACAAAAAAAACTAAGGCTTTAGAAAGACAAAAATCATTAAGCCATTAAGGATTTACATCACATGCTCCTAATTACAAGTATGATCACCAATAAGATCCAACTCATTGTATAATGCTAAGATCTTGCTGCAATATTCTATCGTATGTATTTGTCTTTGATAGAGTTGTCAAAGTTCACATCGTAGTTACATGTCTTTGACTTTTGATAATCTTGAATAATTATCGCATGAGTTTTCTCATAATTTTGTAAACGACTAGACATGAAAACCAAAAATCACAAATTTCTCAGAGAGAAGATTTGATCAATCCAATAAGAAATTGACACTAAGCAAACCACTCTTGAAATGTAAAATTTAATACAATAACTCATTTCATCTCATGGGCTTCACTATCTCTCATAGAAGTTTCTTAAATAAGCTTTGGAGGAGCCGCTAAGGATCCATCAACATAAAACGCTTTAGAGCATTGACCCATAAAGGATAATTGTGTTGGTCAACTTGACTCGCCATGTAGGATGCACAAAGGAATTTTAGGATGATTGCGAAGACATGGTGCACTAATTTAGAATATCAAAAAAAAATGCAGTAGTGTGTGCCATAGAATTTTGTTAGATCTTTACGGGGATATAATTGCTCAGGATGCCATATAAATAGTAGACTTATAAAAAATATAATCTATAAGCTTGTGGTTGGATGAATACTGCTGCAAATTATAAATTAGAAATACAGAAAAAGAAAGAAAATAATATACTTCCATACCTCATTTGAATTAGCATTGGTACCAACATTTATACTCTTACTATCTCTTTATGCTATCATTGAATATATATATATTCAAGTTGGATGGTTGAAGTGGAGGAATGCATCAGGCTTATTGTGCGATAGAAAAGTCCCACTCAAACTTAAGGTGAAATTCTATAAGATGGTGGTGAAACCTACAATGCTTTATGGTGCTGAATGTTGGCCATTAAAAGAGAAGCATAATACAAAGTTAAGTGTTGCAGAGATGAGGATGCTTAGGTGGATGAGTGGCTTGACCCTTAGAGACAGGATACAAAATGAGCATATACGTGAAAAGGTTGGAGTAGTTCCGGTGGAAGATAAGATTAGAGAAAGTCGCCTTAGATGGTTTGGTCACATTAAACGGAGGCCTTCCGATGGCCCGGTTAGGAAAGTTGAGGTATTAGATTTGACTTATGTTAAGAAAGGTAGAAGTAGACCTAAAAAGACTTGGTTAGAAAATATTAGAAATGGTCTTTCTTTATTAGATTTAAATGAGAATTTGACTTTTAACTGGACACAATGGCGAAAAAGGATTCATGTAGCTGACCCCATGTAGTGGGACAAAGACTTGATGTTGTTGTTGTTGTCGTCTTTGATGCCCGCTCATTGTTTTCCTTGTAAACATAAGCAGTAGCTTATGTCATATTCTTAACAATTTCAATTATCCTCATAAACACATCTTCGAATGAAGAGAAATAAAAAACATAGAAAAAAATTCATCACAAAGAATTCTCTTAAGCTCCACTCTATCAAGTTGAGAAAGTTCATTTTCCTAAATGACATGTTAACTATTTATGTACCCAAATTAAATACTAATGGGTGATAATCAATATTGTGTCTTTGAATGAAGAGAACTAAATTAAACATTGAAATACATAGAATTATAATAAGTTCCCCTATTCCAAAATTAGATGGTCAATGTTATACAAGATGAACCAAAAGAGAGCCAAAGTTGGGCCTAATACACCAATGGTCAAATCCGTTTTTAACCCAAAAGCTTAATCCTATAGGTGAAGGACAACAACTTATATATTTCCAATATACATTAACAAATAGTTGAAAATATATATTAGTATCAAAGGCCAGATACACCATTGTTCCTATGCTATTAGTAAGGAACCATATATACATTAACCAATAAATTTTTGAAATATTTGATTCGAGACTAAGATGAAAGCCCCGTGTGCCTGAATAATCTACTTTTACATGGGAGATCTCCAAATCACCCATCACTTATTCTCAAATAGAAGCATTATAGAGTATCACACACCAAGAGCCCACTTAACCACAAAAAAAACTACCATGAGTGGGATTCACCTACTCTTAAACATTGCTCAACCATAGTAAAAGCCAGCAACGAAAAATGGGATAAGCTACAAGAAATAACTCAATCTTATATAAACCCTCTAATCTAATATCTCTTATTAGGGTTTATTAATCAAACGGGGACCAATGATGAAACTCATTTTCAATCCAAATGTTTAGGCTCATGGGTGAAGACCAACCACTCAATATATCTATAGAAATAAATTCTTTAACCATTTGATGTGATACTAAACTTAAAAATTTACATATAGTTTAAACTTTTTTTTTCTTTAATGACATGATACTTATCATATATGCATCCAAATTATGTATTATGAAGATACATTTGAGTCTAATCACTACGAATGGGGTTTCTTTAGTCTTATATGACAAACATTTTCACAAACTATATTATTCATGAAGACTACACATTATCATGAAATTTAAAAATCAAGCGAGGCTGATAATTGTTTTGACAATTAACAAGGAATATAATCCAATGTAAGACTTCTAAGAACACAAAAACTGTATTTTACATTATCATGAAATGTAAAATGACCGCACATTATCATGAAATAAAAAAAAAAAACAAGCAAGGCTGATAACTGCTATGTTTTGACAACTAACAAGGAATATAATCCAATGTAAGGCTTCCAAGAAAACAAAAACTACCATTAATAAACCAAAAAAGCGCACTCCATCATTACCATGTCAGCTTACAATTTTATTTTGCTTCTATAATGGCACATGTAAAGCAATTGAATGGGAAAATTTAAACAGATAAGAGATACATTAGGTTCGGTCTTACGAATCCTCAATGTTCATTCCTTCTCCATGAGTGCTGCATAATCTATTAATTCTACTTTGCACAACTACATCTAACAATCCATAGAACAACCACTAAGTGCCATGTAAACTGCATATGTATAACAAAGCATAATGGCCAAAGTACATGGACAAGCTAGGAATAAAGAACAACATAAGAACATTTGTCCACTGTAGAATGCTATTAAACCTAGGCTCATTCATTGAGCCCAAAAAACAACCAAAAACCTAAAAGAAACCGCGGTGAAAATTCAAGGAGGAAACTTAAGATATCGCATCAAAACACAGCATGATAAAAGAAGATTTCCATCAAGCAATACACATTGCCACAGCCTTGATAATAATCCATCCGAGTTCCCAAAGCAATGAAAGTTCAAATTCCCAAATCCAGAATTCAACCAAAACTAATAGAAACCCATCAAAGCTCTAACCTTGATTCAATAAACGGCTACATATGGGTAGAACCTGCGTGAAAGGCCCAAGTTTTTGATGTTCTACCAACAACTCTGCCAAGTACTGGCTATAGACAAAACAAAAAGAACACCAAGATTACATGAACACTTAAAATCATAAAAAAGGAATAGCCTTCGTAGAACATAGTCAAATTTTGTGTAAAAAATTAAAAACTCTTTTCTCATCTTTCTATTATCAGCTACAATACCTATCTGCATCTGGAGTGTTTCTTATCTGTGGGGAGTTGGTTCTCGCTGGAGAGAAGCTGTGAGTATATAAACCTGACATGGTTGTAAGGAGAAAGATTTTGCAGAGAGAAGGTTGGAACGAAGGAAGTTAATGGGGAAGGAAAAAGACCAAGGAAGGTGAGGTGGTAGAAAGTTGATGATGTCGGCTAGAGTGAGAAGTCTTGAACTCGCTTTATTTTTCTTCGTGGCAACCCTGCAACCCATTAAAGTATAAAACAAATGAAATATGGGGTGGAAACAGCCATAAACTTTAAAAAATAAAAATAAAACATTAATAAAAATTTTAAATAAATAGGTGGAGAGAAAATTTTAGAAAATTTTGGAGTGAGGAGATATTCAGTGGGTTTTCAATTACTGATTTAAACGAAAGCTTTAAAACTTAAATTTGATTTCGCTTTTGGTTTAGGTGTTATCATATCATTTTTTAAGGGGATTAAAAATATATTATTTTATATCATCACATCATGATATTTATGTTAGAATAATTAAATATATTAATTATGCGAGACGTCACAATAATTATTTAAGAATATATATTTAATTATATAAATCATTATGTGGCTCATATATTTGAATTATTGAAATTTAATTATTTATGTTTAAATCCTATTAGTCAAGAAAAGATAATTTGATCATTCGTTTATGGACCGTTTGATCAAATAACTCCTATGAGTGGTTATTGTAAAATAACTCCTATGAGTTATTGTAAAATAACTCCTATGAATGGTTATTATGACAAATCCGCAGGAAATAACTATTGGTCCTCTCTCAATCTCTCATAAAGAGGAGTTATCTTGCTCCATAGAGGACTAACTCATGAAAGAAGAAAGTGAAGGGAGAAGGGAGAGAAACCGTAGTTCGAAATTCGACGAATTCAAAATGAATCAATGTATGTTTTTTTTTCGATTAAATATTGTGAAAATCATCTTGTTTAAGATATTGAGGATTTAAGACTTACGTAAATTCAAGTTTTTTGTTTCGATTTCTTTTACATAAATTATGATACAAGTTTATGCAAAGAGTTAGAGAACTCCATTAAGCCTTATAATTTACGTATCTAACATTTAAAATTTATATGATGATATATGTGATAAGAATGAGATATGGGAATGACATATTTGATATTAAAGTTATTTATAAGTGATATACATAAAATATTAAAACTTTAGGTGTTAAAAATATAAATAAAATTATATGAACCTAAATCATCCTTTTTTAATTCCATGATTTTGATAATTTTGTTGGAATCAAGTTTAATTTTGATGTGATCATTATTATTATTATTATTATTATTTTGGAACGGGATATCCACTTGTTGTCTCCCCTGAAGGGATACTTGGCTGCGTGAATAATCCTCAGCTGATCTAAAAGAGACACTCACCCTAAAAAACTCATGGCCCGCACTTGATTGGGCCCCATTTAAGAAGCGTTGCTCCCCGAAGTAATTGGAGCACTTGTGATTATTATTATTATTATTATTTAATATATAGGCATTGAAAAAGGTGCCTCACTTATTAGAACTTAAAAAATATTATAATATTAAAATTTTTAAATTACCATAATATTAGTCATCAATAACTTAACAACTGTTATGGTAATTATTGGGTGAGATCATTCGCTTTGCTCCTCTTTTTCTTTCTTCTTGATATGTCATAAAAAAATTTATCTTGATCGGGCACGAATCTCGAGGCAAAAATCAAGTTGGAAACTTCAAAAATTAAATCTGGGATCATCTGAACTCCAATTTCAACAAACTTATAGTCGAACTGATCGTCTCAGAAATACAAACCCAACGACACCAAATTCAACTCAATCCGAGCCCAAATGGGTCCGAATCAAAGACCCGAAGTGATGTTGGAAGATTCAATCCATAATTTGAGTTACCAAACGGTTTTCAAATATAACGTTCTTATAATAAATCAAGCGGCTCCACGAGACGAATCCAACGAGCTCAAGATCGCCAAATTCCGACATCATTAAGACCTTCAAATATCTGACGAACGGTACACGATGAATGGATTCAATATCGGCCGTCCATCCGACCACTCCTTATTTACCCCTGATCTCTCACCTATTTATATGTCATGCCACTCCATAATATCTATAAATAAACCCCTCATTTCTCATGAGAGGGGATCCAAGCAAGAAGAAGAAGAGAACAAGAGGATAAGAGAAGAATAGGAGGGAAGAGACTCATCCTCGATCACCGTTGGAGTTCCGTCCAAACTCCAAATGACATCGGAATTCTGCCTGACTTCCACAGGACACCGGAATTCTGCCCGACTTCCACGAAATTCCAGAATTCTGCCCGACTTCCACAGGATGCTGAAATTCTGCCTAAGTAACGACAAAATTTCCCCCTGACGTCGAAACTCTGCCCAAGTTATGCCTGAGTTCTCCTCGGCCGCTAACATACGTCGGACTTCCACCCGACGCCGGACCTTCACTCGTCGCCAAGTCTCTACCCAACGTCAGACTTCTACCGGTTGTCAGACTTTCGCTGGACATCTATCTGATGTTGGATTTCTTTTCATTGTTGGATTTCTACCTGACGTCGTCCTTCTGACATTCGTCGTCAGACAATAGTCCTTTCGACCTTCGTCGCCCGCCGACTACGGTCCTCCTGACTTACGTCGCTTGCCGACTACAGTCTTTCCGACCTCCGTCGCAAGACAATGATCTTTATGACCTCTGTCGCCCGCCGACTACAGTCCCCTGACTTAAGTCACCCGCCGACTACAACCTTTCCAACCTCCGTCGCTAGACAACAGTCTTTATGACCTTCGTCGCCCGCCAACTACAGTCTTTTTGACCTCCGTCGCCAAACAACGTTCTTTATAACCTTTGTTGCCCGCCGACTACGGTTCTTCTAACTTCTATCACCAGACTATGGTCCTCCTGATCAAACGAATACGTTAATAGTGACTCTTTGCATTCACATCATGTAATGTACTCTATAAAATGTACATCAAGCTAAGGGCTTCTCTCAAGGAAGGGACTCATTTGTAATCAACTACTATACTAGTGGATTCATTCAAACTGGGCTAGGCCCCGTGGTTTTACCCCCGTTCAGGGGTTTTCCACGTAAAAATGTTGGTATCTTATAAATGCTAGATCCTCTCTCTTATCTGATTGCGTGCCGGATTTTCGTACAACTCTAAGACGCTAAATTTTATATTTCTCTACCACCGCGAATATCCAGGACACAACACTTATTAATAAGACTTTTTCTTACTACATAACATCATGGTCTAAATAGATGCCTTCGCTCAATGTAAGATCCTAAGTGAATAAAGGAGTGAAAAATAGTTGATTTCTTGCTTAATTAAGCCAAATTTGATTCATTTATAAAGAGCATGAACTCGAGCTCTTTTGTTGAGCTCGAGCACATTTTAAGAGAAAACTATGATGCATGAGCTCGACTCGAATGCTTGAGCTCGATAAAAAATTTCGAGATTGACTCATTTTGAGCTCAATTTCTTATGTTGAATTTGGTTAAAATAAATAATTAGTTATGCTACAATAAATGTCGATGTGTTAATTAATATTAATTGAGTCAGTATATGAGCTCAAATTTAAGCTCGAATGGAAACTGGCACCTCAATAAGCTAATCACGCCAGCTCATTCGCGTGTCGATTTCGAGTTGGCTCGCAAGCCGGCTTAGCTTAATTACACCCTAAAGTGAATTTAGGACATGAGATAGAAAATGGCATGATTTGTAAATTTATTAAAAATTTTAGAACGGTGAGTTTCTTATAAACACCCAATTATCTAATTTATAAATTCATGATTGTATATTATACACTTCCTTAAAAATAGATTATTTGAATTTTAGATTTAGATTGAAATAGCTTTCTTGTTACTTTCTAAAGTAACTTTTTTGTATAAATTTTTTTTTTAATCTTATTCTATGGTAAAATTTGAAACTCGAAAGTATAATATATTAATATGTCATATTCAAATGATATATTAGTTTATCAAGTCATTAGTCAATCGCAGAAAGTTGGATTTAAAAAAACAAAACAAAATCAAAATTGTGAAGTGCTAATGAAACGGAAATTAATGGCCCAAAGGCCAAAACTCAACTGAAAGCTATTAGTTTATCTTTTTGAAATTTAATTGAATATTAATATTTTAAAATTTAATAAAAGTTAGTTTCATACATTCATCATTAATTTAAGAAAATTATAAAAAACAAATCTCGACTTAAATTGGGCGCTCTTACTAAGGAGAAATTATTCTGTGCGGAGACGGAACGCAGAATACGTCCGGAGATCAACCAAAATGTGTCACGTCAGCGGTAGCAGTACGGAGCCGCGGTACCGAGCACATGGGTGACGTGATGCATTCTGATTAATCTCCATACGACGTTCGGCGTCTGCACATAATAATTTTTTTCTCACTAAGATGCCAATCATTAAAGATTTATAATATTTTTTTTATATTTACTTTACTCATCCGTACATTTTTCAAATTAAATTCTAAATTATGAGCTTATAAATTTTAATAAAAAGAAATTTATTAAGAAATGAATAGGTGTGAAGTGTTTTACTTTTTGATTTTTTTTATTAGATATTAAGAAATTATAATTTTTCAAGATATATTTAAATTTAATGCGCATTTAGATTTTTTTAGATTATGATAAACAAAAAAAGCAAATAAGTATTTTTATTATTTAGATTATGTACATTTTATTTTGAGTAGCTTGAGTGATACATAATATTAGAGAGAGTCTCCTTAAATTATTTGGTCACATAAAGTGTGCCTTTTGATGATCTCCTTAAGAGAGTTGATAAGTCACCAAAAAAATAGTTTCAATCAAGCACGAATCTCGAGGCAAAATCAAGTTGGAAACTTCAAAAATTAAATCGGAGACTATATGAATTCTGATTTCAGCAAACTAATAGTCGAACTAAGCGTCTCGGAAGCACGAACACAACGACATAAAAATCGACCCAATCCGAGCCCAAATGAGTCCAAATCAAAGACTCAAAGCACTTTTGGAAGGATTTAACCACAATTTGGGTTACCAAATGCTCTACAATCATTACATGTTTATAGTCAAATTGAGCGGCTCGACGAGACGAATCTAACGAGCCCAAGATCATCAAATTCTGATATTATTAAGATAGTCAAAAGTCCATTGAACGGTGCATGATCGTATGAATCAAGATCGGTCGTCCATCCGAACCACTCCCA